ACTTTGTTCCTCTCTAAAAGTAATATATTCTTCAAATGCTTTCAATTTTGTTGATTTTGTAAGAACCAACTCGTTCCAAATTAAATTCATAGCAGTGTAAAACTCGATAATACTTATATTCTTCTATTGTAGAGATAGTATATCAATCTCCAACTGATATGGCTTTGCAAAGTTTGATCACAAACTTCCTTTGCTGTTTCGAACTTCGTTGACTGTGTACCAATGGATTGCCCAACAGGATTATGAATCCAAGTAAGATTTTTCGCATTGTTTGACTCCCAGTTATCCAATTCTATCACATAATTCTCAAAAGTGTTCTTAGATTTCACAATAGTTCCCCTAACATAGCCCAACAATCTTTTTCTCTTTAGAAAGTTTCTCGCTGTACTCCAATATGAGTAAGTTTTACCATTCAATCTGACACAAATGGATCAAAGTGAATAATCTTTTTCAGTTGTCATCATAAAGCCAACAAATAATCAACTATGAATCAACGAAATCACCCAATTACAAAGAAAACCAAAGACGACCAATGTCAACCACACACTACAATCGGAAAATACGGCACGGTATACGTATAACCAAAGTAATACCACGAAACGTTCATAAACTTACCAAGGAAAACACTATTTTTGAAGCTGCCCCAAAAAAAATTGGAGATATGGAAGTGGAAAGGAAAAATATCACGTTGAAATTGATCTATGGCCGAAATTATCATGGCCAAAAATCTTTTCGAGCGCCACATTCACCACACCAAAAATTGAATACCACAGTTCACAGCACAAAAAATAAATTTTGGCTACCAAAAACGAATTATGGGCGTGTCACTAAAAATAAATAGATTCTAGTCACAAAAAACTAATTCTGGCTGAGTCATTGTCCACAGGGTCCTCACTGCATTCAAATGATCAAGGCCACCAATATACCCACAAAACAATGCAAGTTGGTGAAGTTGCTCAATTGAGGTAGATTTCCGAATGAGAAGAAACGAGGGTAAGGTTTTTCAATTGCATAAAATAATTTGAGAAGGAAGAATCAACTTCAATGCATCGATTTGGGCTTCAATACCATGAAAACAATACGAACTAATTTGATAAACTAATCAAAGAAGAAGAAGACCAATTATTGAGCCACCCAAAGATTAGTTTCATAATGAAAATACATAAGTTTATATATTGCAAGAAAAGTAAACAAAAAAGGAAACTTATAGAAGAAGGAAACTAAGTATTATGCAATAAAAATAAAATAAAATTAATCATGCATTTTATTAGGCTCACAACTTTTATACATTTTTTAACCTTACGTTTTATGTAACTCGCTGTATTATAATCTCAAAAAATTTTGTCGAACATTGACTAAAGTAAGAAACATGCTGACCCAAAAAAATGTGCAAGCAGATGTCAGGCCCACTCGCATCCACGACATGCTTGGATCTAAGATTTGGTCGGAGAGTTGTGGTAGCAATGGACATGGGGTATACTCTACGACGCGAGACGAAAACATTTGGAGCACCAACAATACGATCAATGATGACCGTTAACCAAAGATCGAACGTAGATAATATCAAAATAGAATGAATCCAAACTCCACCCCAAGGGACGAGCAAGAGAGTTATGAATTCAAGTGTATCAAGTTTAGCATGTAATTTTTTCCATCATTTACAATATTACAAAAATTGCCATTTATAGAGTTCAGGCCGACATAGTTACCATTGGATCAAATCCACTTGACTCTATCTAATTAATCGAAATCTCACATTACTCTGTCATACATTAACTATATTGACAAGATCAGTCGTCCTATACTTCTAGACCGACATGTTTGAACTCATTAATACACAACGTTACATCAATCATTCTTACAGATATTCATCAAGTCTGCCTTAAAGGCAGCAAACACTTTGACTTTAAGAGGGAGAGCTTCGAATGTAAAATGTTTGACTTTAGGAGGGAGTGCCTCGGCAAGAACCTTGAGTGGAGATAGTGCTTCGGCTATAGAGCAACTTTTGTATTTTCTTTATTTTGACTGCTATATTTCTACATGTAATATCTCAACGTTACTTTTACTAGGAGTTCAATATACGATGAGTAATAAAACGCACACTTAGAAATGGAAAGAAAGAGTTAATTTTACATTGGAGTCCGGAAAATAGTACTAACAAGAGTAAATTTGTTTCTTAAATAGGATTCACAATCCTAAAACTCGGGCGGTGTACACAATATACACGAGTCAATGTTTACTTTCCGCAAAATTTGTTATCTCAGTTTGCTAAAATTAGTTAGAAACAAATATATGGCATTACTTATGATGAACATGTTATACGCTAAGGATTGAATGATCGCATAACGACAGTATCATATGTTACATACCGTTAGACAGCTAGCCTTTCTTTTCCACTTTTTGTGTCGCAGTCGTCACAATAAAGAAAAACAACCAAAAAATAATAATAATAATAATAATAATAATAAAATCGTTTCTTCAAGAAAATAAATTTTATTCATTCTATCCCATTCTAAATTTTGATTGGGTATATGTTTAGGGTTTCAACTATTCAGAAATTTTCAAAATATCAGAGGCGAATTGACTTAAATAGCCAACCTAGTTGGATACATTTCAACTATCTTATTTTGCATTTTTAAAAACTAGAGAATTTATAGACTTATTAAATATTCAAATTGCAAATCAACAAAAAAAAAAAATTAAAATCAAATATTCAAGAGATATTATGTGAATTTTGAATTATTGTTAACTTTAATTAATATTAGAGCTGTCAATAGTTAACGATTAAAACAATTTTTTTCCAGCCCTCTTCTCTCGGGAGCTTGATTTCCTCTTCAGGACAAGATGAATTCAAATAATCAAGAATTTCATTGAAAATCACACGATAGAATACATTTGTTTCTTGGAAAAATAGTCCCAACACCTAAAAAATAATATATAATTCTTGGAACTTAGTATTCGTTTATGTAAACATCTCAGGTATAAGAACAATAAGCAGAAGTTTGACAAATTTTATAATTGTAAGTTGATGGGTCACATGAAATGCCTGATTGAAAAGTGTATAAAAATCATGGTTCCATTAAGTAGGCGGTAAAAAATGAAATTTTTGTTCAGTTTAAAACCTTAAAAAAAAAATAAAAAAATAAAAAAAAAATAGAGAACTTTACCAAAGGAGAGTTATAGTAGGTGATAAATAGAAAATAAAATTATAAAACAATAAAAAGTAACCATCAGAATTGTGATCTTTTTATGTTTGAGTAATGTTACTTGTAGCTCATTATATATAGATTAATATACAGATTGATGATGTAAATTATATTTATTGACTTCCTTTACTTTCTTTCTTTTTTTTTTTTATTTATTTTTTTTCTCTTCCACATCAATAATATGTATAAAATGATGTACAAATAACATTAAGTTTTAGACTCTCTTTTAGCCTCATTATAAAAAATTTATTTTTTAATTAAGCATTCTTCCAATAAAAATAATTTTAATATTTACTATTTTTTAATTATATTCTCTAAAAATTTATTTTTCTACTTAGCTTAGTAAGAGTTTGTCAAAATTAATAATGTGCATCTCCAATGGAGATTCCAAAACACCAATTTTGCACTATTTTTAAGGTGCAAAATGCCTCCAATGTTGCATCATAGTTTGCACTATTTTGGTGCAAAATTGTGCAGCACTATTCATTTGAATAATTTTGCATCAAATGATGCAAAGTCAATTTTGCCCCCATTTTTCAAATATATTGATTAGGGTGTTTGTGTCATTTTTGTTATATATTTTTAAATAAAATAACTTATTATTTATTATATTATTAAATTTATTATTTTTAATAATTAATCAATTAATAATTAAGGATTTTTTAATTTAGTAATTATTTTCGTTAATTTAATTTAATTATTTATAATAAATTAATAATATAATCAATTATTTTCGTCAAATTAATGTAATAAATAAAACAAGTGAATAATTTAGTAATCAATAACAAATCAATATTTTTATCGATTTAACATTATTATTATTTAGTAATTTACATAGTCGTAAAATAAATAAATAAATAAATAACTTTTTCAAATAAGTAAATTGTTAAGAATCAAAAAATGAAAATAATGATTAAACACTATTTATTTTGTGTGATGAGTTGGAGATGATTTTTAATTTGATGCAAAATTTAATGTAAAATGGTAAACTTACCTAAAATTTTGGTGCAAAATTGAAGATAGTCTAAGCCCTTGTTTGAGCCTCATTCTTTGGAAAAAAAAACAAAAAAAAAAAACTTAAATTAAATTAAATTAAATAGTATTTTGATATCATTTCAATTACACATTTTTCAATAAAATAATATTACAGACAAACTCAAATTTTCTTTTATTTTTTAACAATAACGAGGTGGTATGTTAAAGAAATTGCATGACATGATTATGTATATGGAAGGATAAATATATATGTACAAATTTTGGTGTACGAAATCTTTCACTTACTTGTATATATGTGCGTCTCAGGTGCATTTTAAAAATAACAACTTGTGATCTCCCACCTTTTATTGTGAATAGTGTATAAATTATTTTTTAAAAAGTGCGAGAACACGTAGACTTATCGTATATGGAAATGAAGAAAATGGAATGATGAATGATTACCAAATGGGGCCATGATGCCAACAAATAAATGAAATAATAAAAATTTACCAAGAGAGAGAAGACTGCGCAGCCACAGCCGCCATTTCCTCTTCAGCCTTTTTCTGATTACTAATTATAATTAATTACTATTATTATCGCTTCATTAGTACTGGAGAGATAGAGAAAGACGAATAGACATGGAAAATAATAGACAGAGACTTACAAATAAACTAGAGATTAAAAATGTTCAACCTTTTTTTTTTTTTTTTTTTACATAAAAATTAAAATCTAGAAAGAGAGAGAGAGAGAGAAACCCCCCAAAATCAGGTATAAAAAGAAGCAAATGTGATTCTATTTCTGTAGTAGTCGAATAAGAAAGGGTTAGGAACTGAACGGCCCCTCTTGTATTTTTATTTTCTTGAGCTGCTCTTTTGCAAAAATAATCATTTGCCTTTTTTTTTTTCCTTCCCTAATTTCGATAAGATTTTCTGCTTCGCTTTTCTAACTTGAAATACACGTTATTATAGACGCCTGTATTTTTGCGACCTTGAGAAAGCCCTGATTGTTAGCCTCACCCCACCTATATAAATCCTCCCTCTTCTTCTTCAACTTTCAGCCAAGTTCAAGATTTCATAAAAATGGTGGAGGCCGGTGGGGTAGTGGTGGTGATAAGAGAATTTGATGCTCAAAAAGACTGTAGAGCAGTGGAAAAGGTGGAGAGAAAGTGTGAGGTTGGTCCCAGTGGAAAACTCTCGCTCTTCACTGATCTCTTGGGTGACCCCATTTGCAGGGTCCGCCATTCCCCTGCTTATCTCATGCTGGTAAAAATCACGTTTCATTATCTCTGCTAAACCTGTTTTTCTTTTTCTTTTTTCAACTTGTGATGATTAGTTTCTCTTTCAGGTGGCGGAGATGGTGGTGAGCCACGGCGACGCAGTGGTGGAGGAAAGGAGAGAAATTGTTGGGATGATAAGGGGTTGCATCAAAACCGTAACGTGTGGGAAAAAACTCTCTAGAAATAGCAAAAGCTTCCTCATGAAACCCCCTCAACCTCTCCCTGTCTACACCAAACTTGCCTATATTTTAGGCCTCCGCGTCTCTCCTTCCCATCGGTACTGTGTATAAATTCATACATGTTTATGCACTTTTCATGTCCAGACTTATTACATAACTCCAAGAGGGCCAAACTCAATTTCTTTTTCCAAAAATGGATTCTTTAGTAGATCCTTTTGGAAGACCACCTAATTATTGCACCCTTGATTTTTTAATTGTTTTTTACTTTCTTACTATATTAATAAAATAAAGTTCAAAATCTTTTGTGTCGTTTACTTATTCTTTACATTTGACTTTTTACAGAAGAATGGGAATTGGATTGAAACTGGTCAAAAGAATGGAGGAATGGTTTGGAGAAAATGGAGCTGAATATTCTTATATAGCCACGGAAAATGATAATGAAGCATCTGTTAAGTTGTTCACACAGAAATGTGGTTATTCCAAGTTCCGTACGCCGGCGATTTTGGTTCAGCCGGTGTTCGCTCACCGAGTTAGGCTCGACAACAAAATAACCATCATTAAACTCAACCCCTCCGAAGCGGAGGCACTTTACCGGCACCGGTTTTCTTCGACGGAATTCTTCCCCCGTGACATTGACTCTGTTTTGAACAATAAGCTCAATCTGGGTACTTTTCTTGCGTTGCCGAAGGGGACCTATGACGCCGGGTCATGGCGGGGTTTGGACGAGTTTCTGGCGAGTCCGACAGAGTCGTGGGCCGTGCTCAGTGTGTGGAACAGCAAGGATGTGTTCAAACTCGAGGTAAGAGGCGCGTCGCGCGTGAAGAAAGTGTTTTATAAAACAACTCGGGTCGTGGATCGGGCCTTACCATGGCTTCAACTCCCGTCGGTGCCCGAAGTTTTCAGGCCTTTTGGGCTTCATTTCTTGTACGGACTCGGTGGGGATGGCCCAAATGCGGTGAAGTTCATTAAAACCCTATGTGGATTCGCCCATAACCTGGCTAAAGAGCGTGGGTGCGGAGTTGTGGCAACAGAGGTTGCAAGTCGCGAACCGCTCAGGTTAGGTGTACCCCACTGGAAGAGGCTATCATGCGCTGAGGATTTATGGTGCATTAAACGGTTAGGGGAAGACTATAGCGATGGATCTATCGGTGATTGGACCAAGTCACAACCTGGTCTGTCCATTTTTGTTGATCCTAGGGAATTCTAACCAAGAATCTAGTTTAGAAAAAGCAGCTTTTTTGTTTTAACTTTTTTATTTAACTTATGTCAGTTTTAGCTTATTCTTGGAGAATATCAGGAGGGGGATTAGTAGTGGGGCAAAAAATAGGAGGACTGAGAAGATTTGGATCATCTTTTGTTGTTTAGTTGTTATTGTTGTAAAGGGAATATCCCTCTCCTCTGCTTTTTGTAAATGTAAGTGGCTTTTTAGATCCTCTTAGAGCCAAACAAACCCCTAATGTATTATTTTTTTAATTGTCAATGTGGGTTTTTTCCTTTATGATCATATATTCTAAATCGTGACATGAAGCTAAAGAAAGGCATTTTAAATCATGGGTTTGAAGGGATATACTTGAAAAGATGTGTGTATACAATCTTTGATAGTGAGGAAAAAGAATGGTGAAACTATGGGCGATGAGAAATTGTAAAGGACAAAATAGTTTTGCAAATGTGGGGGGACCCTTGAGTAGATGGACATCATAAAAGGAATGTGGAATTTGCTATATAATTGTAATAGGTGACTTTTTGTTTTATTATGTTGGATGTTTCTTTTTTAAGATGCTTGTGTTCCTTACCAATGGAATATTACAAAATTGATATTTGATATATTGTACGGTTGAAATCTTCAGATCTCTGATGAAAGGATCTGTTGGATTCTGTTCGGAACCAACGATTAGAAAGAAACGAATTACTAAACATATTTCAATGATAAAAATGTAAAAATATTATTATCGGGTATAATAACTTCAAACTAATAACGTAGTGACTGAACTTTGTTGCTTTTGCAGGGTCCTACAAGATCTTGCAATTGAAAACAGGGATGGACAGGATATGAAGGACGCTGGTAACTGGTGGAATCCATCGTTGGCGAAATTTAGAATAAGTAGCCGTATAAATCATAATTCATATGAACGCCAAAATAAGAGTTTTAAAATAATAAATAACCTGATAAGGTTTTTGTCAAAGCTTTTTGCAATGGCAACATGAACAACAGATGTCGAGTTCACTCATGTCTTCACAAGCAATTTTCGGCACGTTTAGATCAGAATAATCAATCCGAGGGTCAATAGACATGTGAGATGATTTATAACATGAGACGAACACGTTCGAGCACTGACGGTATGATCGAGAACAATTGTAAGAAAACAATCACAAACTGTTGCACCAAAATCGAAATGATTTGGACTCAATTATGTAAATGTGGAATGAACAAAAAAGAAATTTTACTGAAAATTCAATGTATAATCTTACATATATTTTTTTCCAATCCCTTAAATGATTACAAGAGTTGCTATTTTTAAAGTCTGGGTAAACGTTGTTACCGTTGGATCAGAACCAAGTGGCCTCATCCAATTAATCAAAGCGTCACATCACTCTCTGCCACAAATTAATTGCATTGACAAAAGGTCAGCCGACCTACATCCTACGCTGACATTTCTGACATATTTTAATACAAACATTACATCAATCACTCCTATAAATTTCCTACAAATCTGCTTTGAAGGCAATAAGTGCTTCGATCTAAAGATAACTTTGGCTGGGAAGGAAAAGTAGTTCGAATGGTAGAGGTTCTACCAGAAATAGTGCCATGACCAAAGGAGTACTTCAACCAAAAGGGATCGACTTTTTTCTTTTTCCTTATTTTGACTTTGTTGACTGCCGGATGTCTCACACATTGCCTCCATGTGGCTTTCACAGGGAGCTTTGAATATGAGACATAACAATAGTTTCCCAAGTCTATCTATGATCATTAATGTAGTACATGGACTTTCGTGCTATATTGAAATAAAAATTTAAAAATTTTGGTGGGGATGGTTATTTTTAATCCCTCAATAATAGTCTCCCAAGTCTATTTGTAAATATTTATATATAAAAATTAGAACTTGAAAGTAAAATATATGATAAAATGTTCGAAGTACTTATTGAGATCATGTGCTGAAGTTGTATGATGGGCCTCCTATTTATTCAGACATTTAAGCAAAGTTGAGGCATATCTAACAGATGCTACTTGCCATTCTCTTTTTTTAAGGTCCTGCCAAAGCTGTAAATGTGGAAGCTAAAATGGGAAGCTTCGTCAACTTGACCGAAGTCGTAGGCTATAATTCTAAGGAGTCAAGTACGAGTATGATGAATACGAGGCCTCTCGAATTATAGTGCCCTAATGATTTATTTATTTATTATTATTATTATTTTTTTGTTTTGCAAATTTTCAAGAAATGACAACTGAGGCATTTTACTTTCCAATACACGCAACTACTGCGACATTTAATGAGTTATGATGACTAATGTGGATGTGTTTTACAAGATTGAGACGTCATAGAGCGCGCATTGTAGACACTCTTATCTAAATCGCTAAAGAGGAAACGATAAATGTAACGGATGATTCAAATTGCATTTTGAATGAATGGCTAGATGGTTCGGATTGTCATTTTTAACAGCTAGGATTGAATGCCCCTACCTATAAAAGGCGAAGATCTTGGGCAAAGAATCACTTTTGCCTTTCCGAATCATATCACTCAAATCGTTTCATTACTCTCTCGCTTTTGGCCCAATCATCCTTCATCTTAATCGTTCTTCACACTTTCAGTCGTTTTCCTCCGATGATGTGTTTAATCTTGTAAGTATTTGAATCTTTTTGTGATTTTTGGATCTCATGGCTTCTTCGCCATCTGATGGGACTTAGATATTATAAGGTGGCCTCTGAGATGGGGGTTACCATAACTAACGCAGCCGACCTTATCTAAGCCATTAGGGCTAGGCAAAGTGTCTTACCTCCAAGGGAGTTTAAAGTAGAGGAGATGGGTTGGGGGCTGCAAAAATCCCTTCTATAATATCTGCATCCTACTCAAAGTATTTATCCCTTACAATATCTAACTCTTAGTTCTCTTTCATAATAAGCGAGCTTGCTTTTCCAGGCAGAGATGCACCATCATTAGTGAGTTTTTTTTAAAGGCAGGACTTCGTCTACTACTTCATCCTTTCTTTAGAGTTGTAATTAGGTTGTATGGTCGGCTCTCACCCAGCTTGTCCCTAATGCTTGGGCCCAGTTAGGAAAAACCTACTTTTTGTAGAAAGAAACCTCCCTTAGCGAGGACATGCCTCTCCAAGTTTTCCAAACCATTTTCAACCTAGGGTTTTGGGAAAGGGGGATTCTAAGGGTTGGTATTATTTACGTCTATGGGGGTTGCACTCCCTCTTCATCATAGAATTTTCTTCCTCCATCAAAGTATGGTAGGAGACATGGTTCTGGGTGAGTGAGGAAGTGGTAGGTGTGTGAGGGTGACACCATTCTCCATATAACAGTTCACACCTCCTACTCAGAAGCTCGTGAGTGTTGTACCTTAATTAGATTGTTGACCTTGCGATTGATTGATTTCAATCTTGACCTTCCTTATTTTGTAGTATCTAGGGATGGCAGTGGGGCGGGGCACCCCGCGACGCCCCACTCACGTCCCTCCCCGCCCCGCGACCCACCCCTCCTCAAACGGGGTGGGGCTAAGCCACTCCCCATTTGTCGCCCCGTTTATTTTATTTTATTATTTTTCTTTTTACATTTTTTAAATTTCAAATTATGTTATTATTAGAGAATAAAATATAAATTCAAAATTTTAAAATTCAAAGTAAACACTTGAAATAAACAATGTTAAAAATTAAACAATTTCAAATAATATTACGTTTTGACTAAATTTTATTTCTTTTGTAATTAATTAAAATTTTACATTTGTATTTTATTATCTAATAATAATATAACTTGAGATTTAAAAAAGAGAAAAAGAAAAAGAAAAAAATTCACGGGGCGGGGTCAGGGAGGGGCACCCCCATGCCTCCCCGCTCCCGAGACGGGGCGCCCCATCCCGTCCCGCCCCGCCAACTCATCAGGGCGGGTTTTTTTGCCCCATTCGGGACGGGGCGGGACAGATTTTTTTGCCATCACTAGTAGTATCAGTTGATCGCTTCAATCTCAATCAAGCTGAGTTAGAGGTTGTTGAGGACATCTACCTATGTCCTTTATTTTCAAGGGAGTTTGAAAGGTTGATTGTTGCTCGCCAGTTCTTCGAGGAATTCTACTTGATGGCTCGAAGAGGTAATTGCACTTCGTCAAAATTTTCATCTTGTTAGTTTGCATATTTTTTTTACCTTCCTTTGTCCTTTTTTGAAAATTTTTAGAAGATGAGACACCCCACCTCGGATATGGCTACCATCTTTGCTACTATCTCTATTATCGGGAGAAAGGGGTTGAAGCCCTCATCTATAGCAGTAAAGCAAGTGAGGAACCGAATTGAAAATGTCATCAAACAGGCTGTTGGCTATTAAAGAGATGGGTGACCTTCCATGAAGGACAAGGAAAAAATAAGGTGGAAGAGGTTCCCAAGAAAAAGAAATTCTCTGCCATCAGAGAGGGTAGGTCCATGGCCAACCCACCTCTTCACTTCGAAGAGGTGGGCGACCTCCCATGAAGGACAAGAAAAAAACAAGGTGGAGGAGGTCCCCAAGAAAAAGAATTTCTCTGCCATCAGAGAGGATAGGTCCATGGCCAGCCCACCTCTTCACTTCGAAGCCCCTGCAGTGGAGAAATTAATGGCGGCTTCTATTGCTGCGACCAAGGGGGCTCAGAAGAGGCTAACTGTTGTAGAGCCATGAAGGCAAGATTTCTCCAAGAGGATGAGGATATCAAGTGGGTCCACTATATCTAATGTAGGTCCTCGTCTAAGCTCTCCATTTCCCAGTGAGTGATGAGCTGGCTCCAGAGATTTTGTCCATGCTTCCTCCAGATGTTTAGTCTACAACATCAACATTTTACAATTTCTATATGGATCGTTGTCAATCCTTCGTATAAACTAACAATTGGGTGGACATCTTCATACCACGGTGAGCCAAATGGGGAGGGCGTTTGGTGTTGCCATAGATGGGAGGCCCTCTTTAAAAACCTTCAAAGCAAAAATAAAGAATTTGCGAACAAGGCCTCCCTGGCCGAGGAGGCAGCCAAGAAAGCTAAGGTTGAGGTGGAGGCTTTGGATAAACAAAAAGCTAAAGAGTCTATGAAGCTCCCCTCTACACTGACAGAAATTGAAGATTTGAAAAAAGAGGTTCACTTGTTGCACAGTGAGATGGCCTCCCTGACAAAAAGAGTGAAGACTTCTAACGCCCACCAAAAGCTGGCTGCTGAGGCCTTGAGGGTGGCTAATAAAGAAAATGCTACTTTGAAATAGCAGGTAAGTGAACTAAACTCCAGAGTATTAGGCCTAACAAAGGAA